CCCCTAGACAACAGCAGCATTTTTCAGTTCTCTTCCGCCCTAGCGAGCGTCTGACCCCCAGCAGCACCAACAGCAGTGGCAGCGCTTTCTGCCACATGCCAACCTGGCCCTTCTGCTTTTCTCCTCCTGAGATGGGAAGGAAACAGATTTAAATCCCTCAGTAGCATCACATTCACACACCCTCTTGTGTCTCCTAGGCCCGTCCGAAGTACTTGAACTGTATTGCAATCAGCTGCTTCTTCCTCGCTGCAAAGACCATTGAGGAAGATGAGGTAATTTTGTTGTTTATTGCCTCGGTGCTGTCTGGATCTGCTCTTCCAGTCCTGCCTTCGCTTGCCAGGACAGGAACAAAGCGTTTAATGGGATTTTTACAATGCTTGGTTCTCCCGTTGCTTTCTTTGCGTTGGCTTCTGCAGAGGATTCCAGTACTGAAGGTGTTGGCTCGGGACAGCTTTTGTGGTTGTTCTCCAGCTGAAATTCGCAGAATGGAGAAAATTATCCTGGATAAACTGAACTGGGATCTTCACATGGCAACGCCACTGGATTTCCTCCATATTGTAAGTAAGGGGCTACTCACGCTCTTTCTGTTACCTGTTGGTGTAAGTAACGCATTGAGAGGTACCTACACAAAAACTCTCCTTGTGGGGGAGCACAGACCTCAGGACGCAGTTGTAATTCCTTCCTACAAGGAGTTCCTGAAACAAAAAGCCTTGCCAGAGAGTTTCAGAGGAGACTTGGGACACTTCAGGTACAATTTCCAAAATGTGGGCCCGCCACCTGCCACTCTGGCCTGTTTGGAGGTGTGTCAGGCCACACGCTAAGACGCACAGCTCCCAAAAACCTTGCCCCCGAGTCTTAATTCCTAGTGGGTTTGCTCACAGCTAGGGCAGCACGGAAACAGTGAGTAGTACCAAGGAGAAAGCAGTTGTGTGGCCAGAGAGCCCCTTGTTTAGATGAGAAAATGGAAGGAGAAAGCATCCTGAGGTTCTCTGCTCAATTTCTTCTCTGCTTGCTCGAGGAGGAGTTTTTGTCTAGGACACCTGAACTGCCAAACCCGCGTTGTTGCGAGGGCAGGGTGGAAGGGGATGGCCTTTCGCAGAGCCCCGAGACACCTGGTCCTCCATCAGGCCCTGTCAGAACAGCCTCACCAAGCTCTTGGCGTGTTCAGTGCCTTGGTTTTTATCCCTGTGGTGTGGAAACCGCCTGGAAATTTAATCAGGAGGGTCCTTGTGTGCCCAAGATGCCACAAGCCATTCCTGAGGCCTGCCCTGGCTTTGCTCCTCGGTGACACCAGCTCCCCCGTGTCCTTGTCTCCCCCCCAGTTCCACGCAGTCGCGGTGTCCACCAGGCCCCAGCTGGCGACCGTGCTGCCCCAGCTGAGCCCCTCGCAGCACGTGGCGGCGCTCACCAAGCAGCTGCTGCACTGCATGGCCTGTTACCAGCTGCGGCAGTTCAAGGGCTCCATGCTGGCGCTGGCCATCGTCAGCCTGGAGCTGGAGAAGCTGCTCCCCGACTGGCTGGCTCTCATCATCGAGCTGCTCCAGAAGGCACAGGTGAGGGGGCGCTGGGGGCTGCGTTTTGCTCGGGGTTTGGGGCGATCGATGCCAGCCGGGGCTTTTGGATCCATAGCTGCTGAAACCCGCTTGCAGCGACGCTTTGGCAGGGATGGTTGTGCCTGCAGGGACACTTGGTTGGGACAGGGCTGCAAACATTAATCCTGGCTGCAGGTGGTGGGTGACGGAGGGAGGAGCCCTGATGGATACGGGATTTCTCTGCACCTCGTTTTAGCTGCTCTGCCATTCATTTTGAGCATCCCATGTGGCCTGCAAGTCACTGGAAAGACAAACGCTCGAGCTGCTGAAAGATGCAGTGTGGCCTTTTCACAACTGAAAGGGTCCCTCACATGCTATTACCAACAGATCATCCCCCTGTACTCGGCACTGGTGAGGCCGCACCTCGAGTGCTGTGTTCAGTTCTGGGCCCCTCACTAGAAGAAGGATGTTGAGATTCTGGAGCGTGTTCAGAGAAGAGCCACAAGGATGGGGAGGGCTCTGGAGAACAAGCCTGATGAGGAGCGGCTGAGGGAACTGGGCTTGTTCAGCCTGGAGAAGAGAAGGCTGAGGGGAGACCTCATCACCACCTACAACTGCCTCAAGGGAGGTTGTGGAGAGGTGGGTGCTGGGCTCTTCTCCCAGGTGATGGGGGATAGAACAAGGGGAAACGGCACCAAGCTGTGCCAAGGGAGGTTCAGGTTAGAGAGAAGGAGGAAGTTCTTTACTGAGAGGGTCGTCAGAAGCTGGACCAGGCTGCCCAGGGAGGTGGTGGAGTCACCATCCCTGGATGTGTTTAAAGAGCGGGTAGACGAGGTACTTAAGGATATGGTTTAGTGGGTAGACAGGAGCGGTTGGACGTGATGATCTCAGAGGGCTTTTCCAACCCAGCGATTCTGTGATTCTGTGATTCTATCCCCACGAGATGTGAGAAGCAGCAGAGTCTGTATCTTACGATGTTGTGTTGGGGTTTTTCAGCCCTGTCATCGCTCACTTTCTCCTGCATCCACCACGTTGAGAACTGAGGTCCACGGGTGGCTGGCACGTTCAGGGCGCTCTCCTTGCCCTTATGCTGTCCCCTCCACGGTAGTGACGCCGCAACGCCGGTGTCTTTGCTTGTCTTCCCCTCCAGATGGACAGCGCGCAGCTGATCCACTGCCGGGAGCTCGTGGCACATCACCTTTCCACCCTGCAGGCTTCTCTGCCGCCCAATTCTGTATATGTCTACAGTCCCCTCCAGCACACCCTGGTGACCTGTAACAGAGGAGCGTTCAAACGCCAGCCCTCCTCTGTCCCAGGGCCGGGTTTCTCCCAGGACAACGGCCGGCCAGAAGCGCCGCCCCCCGCGCACCCGGCGGCTGCCAGCTGCCGGCGGCTGCAAGCAAACCTCTGCCAAGCGCAAGGTGGAAGAGATGGAAGTGGACGACTTCTACGACGGCATCAAGCGTCTCTACAACGAAGACGTCGCTCCGGAGGCGGCAGCGGCGGCGGCTCTGGAAAACGTGGGCTCCGTTTGCGGCGCTGACGTCTCGAGGCAGGAGGGCAGCGTTTCCCCTTGTCCGCCCTTGCAGCCGGTGTCCGTCATGTAGCTGCGAGCGGCACCAAAAGAAAACCATGCGGAGCCCGGCGGCTTCTGGTTGCGGTGAGGGGGAGAAGGGGCCGTACCTTCTCAGGCTGGACTGAAGGGAGCCATAAAAGAAAAAAAAAAAAGAGAAAAAAAAAATATATCCCAACCCTTTTCTGAATTTTTTTCTTGTGCGGCTAATTATAGTTCCACTATTTAAGCACTTAAAAAAAAAACCCCACAAAAAAGTATAAAAATCTAAAAAAAAAAAAAGACCCAAAAAGCAAACAAAAAAAAGTAGCAAAAAATTGTTCCTTTCTAGTGTTGTCAGTTCCACTGTTTTTCTGCTCCTGTGTCTCGTCACCCGTTCTCCACCTCCAAGAGCTCACAGCAGTGGTGCAGGGCTGTTCCCGGCCTCTGGGATCCGGTTTCCGTCTGCTCCTCGCTCCCTTTCCGCTCCCCTTTTAATTCTCCGCGAGTCCCGTGCATGACCTTCACGGCAGCTTTCTGGTTTTTGTTCTCGAGAAAGAGACCTGGTTAGGTTTTGTTCGCACTTGGTGTTCAAACACGGCGGTGTTTTTAAAGAAGGGTTTCAGTAAGGTCGGTGAGGAACAAACCAAACCCAAACCGGTGCTTGCAAACCGCTCCACGCTGCAGTGACAACCCCCGGAGCGTGGCCGTACCCTGGGGCGCACCCGCTCCGCTCTGTACCTTACACAGAGACTTCTCCAACTTAAAAGTTTGCCTTTTCCAACACAGAAAGCAGTGATTTTTGTCTCCCTCGAACCAACCCGGTATTTTTGTCTCGTTTGCACCAAGAAACGTTGCACTCGGTGTGGATTTTCACCAGCATCTGACGCTCTGCGTCAAGTGTGAACCCGAAATTCTGCAGAGTCCCTTGTTTCCCCCGTTTCTGCGCTGAGCTCGTGGCCGGCACCGCTCGCTGCGGCGCTGGGCAGCTGAGGTTTGAAAGGTGTGTGATTCCCAGCCACAAAACCAAACCAAAAGACCCCCCCCAAACCCCCTACGTTTTGTGTTCATGTAACTTCTAACCAAGAGTCGAACCCTTCAGATCTCGTCTCCTCGGTGTTACACCTCTGTCTCTGAATGACCTGTCCCACCTGTCAGCTCTCTCCACAGCCCTGAGGAAGGTATCGTAACCGGAGCCATTGTACTGATGAAAGCCTTCTGGTAGCAATAAAGAAAGTTGTCCTGGACTCCGAGTCGTCTTTCCTGCTGTCCTGGATCAGTCTGGAGCCGCCCTGTACCTGTGAGTAAGCGGTTTGGGGGTGCCAGGGTGGTGGCACGGCGTCGCCTCATTGCAGTGGATCCAGTGGGCGTCCCAGGTGCTGTCCTTGTTGCTGTGACAGATCCCTCCTGGGTGTCAGCTCTCGTCCGGCCGTGTCCTGGGAATGCCCTCCCTGAGGCTGTGTTTCTCCAAGGGCTCTGTGTTTTCCTGCCCTTCCTCTGATCCCTGTGGGATAACCACTGCCCGACCCTTCCTTTCTCCCCTCTGCACGGTTTTCTCCAGCCAGGCCGCTCTGCAGTCCCAGGGCTCCACTTTACACCCCCCTCACAAAATACGGCAGAATTTCAGAAATAACCACTGCCCGCTACTCCAGACCCCCAGCGAGGCACACATCTCGGGTTAAATCACACAGCTCTACATAAAAATAACCCCCCTGGTTTCCAGGACTTGATGTAACAACATTAACATGGGAAAGATGACAGCCAGGCAGTTTTCACACCCCCTGACAGCCAAGCCAGGCACCCGCGGGTCCTGCACAGAGGAGTTTTGAGGGACTGCAGCTGCTTTTAGTTGGCTGCCAGTGCTATGAAACACATCAGGAGAGGAGGAATTAAAAATGGGGGGACGAGGGTGCCATGGCTTACCAGGGTTACAGCCCGAACCTGCTTGCAGACGCATAAGGAGTTGGTGCGGGGCTGGGATAAGGAAGGTGTTTGCTGGGCCTGGCTGGGACGGGAGGGAGGGAATTTGGGTGTAAGGAGGGAGATCTGGGTGCTGCTGAAGCAGGTCATTGCTCTCTGCTTCTCTAACATGCATTTTGTGGCTGCAAAGGTGGTGCTCAAGGACTTGTCTTTGAGCGGGGCACGTCCCACCAAGATCAGCTCCCCCCGCATCGCGAGGTCTGGCTCATTTGGAAATAACCTGCAGTGCCAGAGAGAAAAAAGACATTTCCCACCTCCCACATTTCCTCCCCACAAAAACCCAAGCCATGGCACAGGCCCCCACCATGGGGGAGAGCCTCCTTCCTCGAGTAGTTGGTAGGAGGACACCTCAGTCCCCTCTGTGTCCCCTCTGTGGTGGATGGCAGATACCCCCCATGGGGCACATCCAGCCTGGAAGCTGCTCCTGGGCTTTGGGAGTTTCTTTAAGCTCATTTTGACTCTCTAAGCAGTGACAGGGCTGTTCAACCCAAAAACAGGGTTTGAAATGTGGGCATCTGCTTGCTCCTGTGGATGAGGCAGCTTTCCCAGCTCTGCTGGGGACACTGAGTGACAAAGAAAGTGACAGGTTTCACGCTGCCTTCCTCACCCCATGCTGACAGCTCTTCCCCCAGCAGCTGCACTGCCTGCAGGGGGTGAGCCAAGGGGCACGTACATCCCATCCATCCCCAGCACCGACATGTGGGAAACCCTTGGCAACTCCCGCTCCATCCCGTCCCCTTGCCCAACACACACCAAACACCGCTTGCATCGCCAGAGGTTTCCCCCTGGTTTCCCTCCCCTCCCCTTAAAATTCCTTCTGGCTCTGTTCACCATGAATTTACCTTTAAAAAATCCCAGATCTTTCGACTGACAACGTCTGCCTTGACCACCTGGGGCGACAAATTCCACAAGCTCACTCACTACCTGCTCTGTAGGAAAGTTACTCCCTGCTTTGAGCCCATTTCCTCCTAAGCTGAGTGGCTCTGTAACAGCATGGCAAGTAAATTTGGGCTAGAAGGGACCTCTAGAGGACACCTGCTGCAACCTCCGGCTCATGGCAGGGCTGATGCTCTCATCGCAAGACCTCTCAAGGCCTCCAAGCCTTTGTGGTCTCACCTGGGAGGATGCAGCTCCAAGACAGGGAAGTGTTGGCATTTGGTTCGTGCCCATCTGCTTCCCTGCCTTCCTATAACATTTTTAATAAATTTCTATTTGGAGTTCAGCAGTCAATCCACAAAAGGGTTGTGCCCTTCCTCACACTTTCCTGACTCAGCAGCACCGCTGCCGGCCTCTTCCCCTACAGCCTGTGTGAAGGGCAGCAGAAATGCTCTAAAATCCGAGGTCTCCAGGGCTCCTCCAACAGCCCAGGGTGGTCAGGAGCCCAGCAGGACACTTCAGTGCTGCCAGCCTGCAGAGCTGGTCACAGCTTCCTGCCACCACACACAAGATTTCAGTCGCAGGGCCCAGAACAGGGGCACTGGGGAGAGTCTCACTGCGCAGGAGTCACCCGGTGGTGGCCTCTGGGCAAGCAACCAGCAGGGGGTTTGGGCAAGTTGGAGGCTGCCATGGAGAGGGTCACAGATGGGCCATGGCAAAGCCCTCTGCAGGGGGCCTGGCCAAGGCCAAGGCACCAGCACTGAAACAAAGAGACATGGCACAATATTTGTGCAAATATTCCCATCCTTTGAGCTTGGGCAGCCGTCAGCAACTCCACTTAATACAGGTAAGCTGTTACAGCGCCAGGTCAGCGTTTAATACAATAAATCACCAGTATTTGGTTCAAAGAATGAAACTTTAAAAAGTCCATCACCTCACATGAAAACCATCCCAAAAGGATGGGGCAGCCTCCTTCCATCCACAGGCCAGCTACAGGTCACTGCACACCACGCTTGCAGGCTCTGGTTTTACCTTTAAACACCACTCCTGGCACTTCTCAAGCTTTTTTTGGCTGAAGTAAACAAGTTACCAAGTTAAACAACTATTCCACACTGCATGTTGTTATAAAAATATAACAATTTGCAATTTGGCTTTGCAAAAATAAAGCTAAGCCCTCAATGGGAGTCCAAGGCAGTGCTGCTCAAGAGGTTCCCAATTTGCTCGTACAGGAGCAAATCAGCCAGAAAATAAGGCCATGGCCACCCGAAACGGGGTCCATCAACGCAACAGGACACATATTATGGGAAAAGGGAAGGAAACGGGGATGGAGACACAAACCCAACCCTGTGGAGCATCTCCCGTGATGGCCAAGCTCTCCCCTCCGGTCATTACCTCTCACTTGGGGTACCTGAACGCTGCCGGAGCCGTGGCGGGGGCAGACAGAGCCCGCACAGACACACAGCGCGGGTGAGAAACAAGAGGGGAAGGAGAGGAGGGCGGAGGCGATGGAGAATGAGATGGGTCCTCTCCTGGCGGGGAGAGGCTCTTCAGTGCCCTGCGGGCCCCCGGGAGAGGGGGCGTGCGGCTGTGGCGGTGACGGCTACAGAAAGAAGAAGCTACGGAGAGAGAGAAACAGAGAAGAGAGAGAGGTTCAGAATCGGGGCGAGACGAGAGGGAGGGGAAACAGGGGTCACACAAAGCAGGGAGCCTGGGACCTCACTAAGACAGCCCTGGCTTGGGGACAAGCTCGCAACCGCCACCAAAAGGTGACAAACGCCAGCACGGAGCTACAGCGACATCGCAAAGGCACCGGGGGAGCTGCAGGGACACCTCCTGCTCCCTCCTGTCACACCAAAACCACGCCAAGACTACAACGTTTGGGTAAAAATACATCTCGCCCCGCTCCAAGCGTTGGCGCTGTTTGCATAGGTGACCTAAAGCACATAGGAGAAATAACTGAGCTTGTGCTGCAAGGTTATTATTCAAATCTGTAATTAAAAACGAAATATTTTAACATCAAATAAAGTGACAATATCTAACAGATGCATACATGTCATCGCATTAACACTGTAGGTAGGTTACACAGTTCAGTTACAAACATGGGTTATTTTCAAATAGCAAGGTAATAAAGTTCTACATCTATCGTTTAAGGCAATCAGGATATTAAAAATGTATAACAAATACAATATTTCTACCGCTGTTCACAGCTTTATTTTCCGGTAATTAAAAAAACCCTTCATATTTGTACTGTCCCAAGCTGATGAGCACCTCGCGGGTGTCTCATACTGCAAATGCAACCTTG